TGGCCTTTTAAATTCAGTTCCTCATGTTGTGACCCAACCATAAAATTATTTTCGTTGCTACTTCATAACTGTAATGTTGCTACTGTTATGAATCGTAATGTAAATATCTGATATGCAGGATGGTCTTAGGCGACCCCTCTGAAAGGGTCGTTCGACCGCCAAAGGGGTCGCGACCCACGGGTTGAGAACCGCTGGTTTAGAGGGACTCTGAGGCTTGGGGGTAGCAGGCTAGGGGCTGGTGGGACTCACCGGGGACACTTGCAGATTCTTATCCACTAGGGCCTCCTGCAGCACCAAATGCCCAGCGATCTGTAGCTGCTGTAAGGAAATCACCAGGGTCCCCAGAGACCTGTGGGTGTGGCATGGAGCAGAAGAGTGACCCGGAGAATGGCCCCAAGCCACCCCCAGCCCCACCTGCATCCTTGACTTCCCGAGACCTACTCACCTGGAGCTGAACACACAGCTGCAGTTGACCACCTGCACAGACAGACACTCCCCAGCCAGCGGAGCCCCATAGTGTGGCCAACGGAACAGCTGGGAATAGGAGGAACCTTATGACACCCAAAGCTGGGCTGACCCTTACACCCAGTACAGAGCCTGTACCCAACCTTGAAACAGGAACCAACCCTCTAAACTTGAAGCCAACCTATAACTGATCTTTCAAACCTGGAATCTCCCCCCGCCCCGCCGGCCCCAACACGGGCTTGACTCCAAACTAGGCTGATCTGGGAAAACTATCAATCAAAATCCCCCATCTTAATTCTGATTTGTCTCAAGCTGGGTCTGACCTCTCAAGCTTGAGACTGACCCCACCTCCTGAGACTATACCTCTCAAAACCCAGGAATGAACCCTCCAACCAGGATGGACTTAGATGGGGCACAGACCAGCTTTTCCCCATCCAGGACTCTACCTCACTGATCTCACCAATATCTGCTTCTTGGCCACAGTGAATTCTCCTTGTTTTCTGGATAAAACCTGCTCAGAATTGAATCTAGTCATTTACCACCCCCTCTCGATGAAAAAAATCACACACACACACACACACACACACACACAATCCTTGGCCCAGAGTCCAGTCCCCCTGGACTCACTTTTAAAGAAAGGTAGAAGATAGAGAGGGAAGGAGGCACAGAGTTGGGCATTGGACTAAGAAGACAGGGAACAGGCTATAGAGATACCCAGGGATGGGTCTGGGGGCCATGGGAATAGAGCTTTCCAGTTCCAAAAATTCTTAGCACACCCCTGCAAGCCTCACCCCGAAAGCTGAGCCTCACTTGTCGGTCATGAGTTCCCAGCAGCCCCGTCAGTCGCCGCACACACACAGTCAGAGCCATCGTCCCAGGGCCACTGTCTCTACCTCTACCCTCCTGCCCACCTGCCCACACACCTGAATCGCCTCTGAGTCACTGGATTCATCCAGCAGGTTTCAGCAATCCCTGCCCTTTAATCAAACACACAGACAGCAGGCTTGGGGGTCATAGGTGGGGAAGGAGGGGGAGGACTGAGAGATGGGTGTAAGGTCCCTCTGGTCAGCTCAGTCCTCCCTCCTTGAACCACCTTCAGCCTCCACCCTGCATTCTTGTGTGGTGGGAGCTGGGACCCAGCAGAGATGGAGGCAAAGGGAGAAGATAGCACCCAAGTTTGGCCCAGCTAGCCTATGTGGCCTTCAGGGCATGGGACCTCACATAGTTAGTGCCTTGTTCACCTCTCTGTCCTCAGTGCCAAGCTCATTCTCTGGTTATATTGTAGACCCTCAAAACACTGACTGAGCCTGGCCGGTGTGACTCAGTGATTGAGCATTGATCCATGCACCGAGGTCACTGATTTGATTCCTGGTCAGGGCATATGCCCGGGTTGTGGGCTCGATCCGCAGTAAGGGGTGTGCAGGAGGCAGCCACGCAATATTTCTCCCTCATTGATGTTTCTCTCTCTCCCTTTTCCTCTCTCTCTAAAAATCAATACAAATATATTTTTTAAAACACTGGCTAAATAAACGGGTGGGTTAATAGATGAATCCTGTAGCCCCCAGCATTAGTACTGTAGGCACTCAATACATTTATTGAATTAATAAGTGATCGACTATGCCCTTAGCTTGCACATAACAGGTGCAAAAGCACTTCTTAACCAGAAGCCAGAGGTTCTTGAGGTTTACTAGTGGGACTGTCGATGAGCTCCAGGGAGTCAGCAAACTCTTAAAATTCTCTGTAAAATATTGAGCACATGCCGAAACCGGTTTGGCTCAGTGGATAGAGCGTCGCCTGCGGACTGGGGGGTCCCGGGTTCGATTCCGGTCAAGGGCATGTACCGTGGTTGTGGGCACATCCCCAGTGGGGGGTGTGCAGGAGGCAGCTGATCGATGTTTCTAACTCTCTATCTCTCTCCCTTCCTCTCTGTAAAAAATCAATAAAATATATTTAAAAAATATATTGAGCACATGTGCATTTTTCTGGACATAGAACTCCTAGCTTAGGATAATAACCCCTAAACAGATGTGTAGCACTTTTACTAAATGCATGAAGGAATTAATGGATCTTGCAGTCTTGAACCAGTGGGTGACAATAACTATGTTCTGAGTGTATTTCATGGCCATCCACCTAATCATTCTACTTCATGGCACCTCCTATGGGCAGGACTTGTGCTATGACTTTTTTTTAAAGAGTTTGCAGCCAGAGATGAATTGGGCATGTTCTCTGTCTTCTAGTAGCTTTGTGGACTCCAACATCAAACATAGACTAAATTACAGTGGTCGGCAAACTGCGGTTCGCGAGCCACATTGCGGAGTGTGGCCACGAAGTTTCAATCGCACTGTACGTGTGCGCCCGCACGTGGTATTTTGTGGAAGAGCCACACTCAAGGGGCCGTAGTTTGCCGACCACTGACCTAGAAAGACTGCAATCCCCATCAGAACAGAAACAAGTCAGCGCTGGGTGGCTTGGAGGAGGGAGGCCAGAGAGGCTTCCCTGGGCGTTGAGGACAGGAGTGGAGCAGAGATGGCTATCCAGGCAGTGTGGAGGAATGCAGGGTGTGTTCCTGGATCTGTGATTTGTTCAGTTTGGCCTTGGTGTAAGGTATGTACGGGACAGCTGCAGCAGATAAGATTAGACCCTCTCTCGGCCTCAACCCCTCTAAGAACTGCCACTTCCACTTTCTAATATTCCAAAGAAGATGGGATGTAGTGGAAAGAGTACTGGGTTTTGAAATTCTAATCTCTATCACCCACTGTGTGGTTTTAGGCACGTCCTTTCCCCTCTCTGGACCTGTGTGCCTAGCTGTGCAACGTGCACAGGAATCACTGAACTGCTTGCAAAGCATGGCCTTAATCAGGACCACACATGTGGTCATTAAAAATGCATATTCCTGCCCAGCCGGCATGGCTCAGTGGTTGAGCGTAGACCTACATACCAGGAGTTCAGACGGTTCAATTCCCACTCAGGGAACATGCTCGGGTTGCAGGCTTGATCCCCAGTGTGGGGCATGCAGGAGGCAGTCGATCAATGATTCTCTCTCGTCATTGATGTTTCTACCTCTCTCTTCCTCTCTGAGATCAATAAAAATGCACATTCCTGCACCCACTCTCGAGATGCTAAAGCAGATCTCAGGGTGCACCTGGGAACCTGAATCTCCATAGGCGGCTGCACAAGAGTCTGTGAACCTCTGGTCTCTTGGCTGTGGCCATCAGTGATTTCCCCATTCCCTTCCCTGCGCCTCAGTTGGCTGGTTTTCGCGTGGGTATGATGATTGGTGGGCGGGTACTGAATTTTCACCCCACAGACCCCTGGCGAATATAGGTCTGAGAGAGAGACCCACAGATCCCCTGATGTCAGAGTTTTCAAGGCCTCGTGACTAGGATGAGAGGAGGGGCCTGAAGGGTTTGCAAAGCAAAAGAGATCAGATGTTTATTTAGAAGTCCCCTGGGAGATCCCTTGCCCTGCTTAGCATTCATTCATTCATAAATATTTGAGAGCCTATTACATGCTAAGCCTGTGGAAGGTGTCAGAGGATGTAGGAAGAGAGGAATTCTTTGAAGCCGAGTGCAGGGTCGGATAGGGTGCTCTGGGAAGTGCTGTGATGTCACTGCTGGCTTTGACACGGGAAAGAATAAGGCTGCCCTGGCTCCCAGCGACGTCACGATGAGCTCTGTGACGCTGGGTCACGGCGTTCCGCGGAGGCCGCGGT